TGCCAAGAGCATTGATTGTGGAGCCAAGCCGACTAAAACTGTGAACAATCTCAGTCTCTTCACCATCCATCCTGATGCTGCCAATTGGTCCAGTGGTGAGAATCTGTGTCCTCTCAACATTAAGCCTCAGTCCATATTGGAGGCTGCAGTCCTTGACCCTCAGCTTCAGGTCCTCCTCAGTTTCAGCAAGCAAGGTTTTGTCATCTGCATAACACAGATTGTTGTTAGATCTTCCACCAATCCTGATGCCGCATTTCTCCTCATAGAGCCCAGCCTCCCGATGATCGATCTGTTCTGCATACAGGTTGAAAAGGTATGGAGACAGAACACATCCTTGATGCATAATCTTCCCAATTTTGAACTATGCAGTATTTCCTTGCTCTGTTCTGATGACTGCCTCTTGGTCCAAATATAAGTTTCGCATTAGCAGGATCAAGTGTTCTGGGATTCCGATTCTTCTCAAAGTCAGCCACGGTTTGTTATTGTCCACACAGTCAAACGCCTTTGCATAATCAATGAAGCACAGATAGACATTCCTCTGGTGCTCCCTGCTTTTAGCCAAGACCCATCTAACATTAGCTACAATATCCTTAGTACCACAAGCCCTTCTAAACCCAGCCTGGACTTCTGGCAGTGAACAGAGTTCACTGAACCAAAAAGAACTGAATTGCACTGAACCATTTCAGGAAACAGTAAAATATGAAGAACCAAAGGCACTGAATGATGCCCAAACTAAAACAGAATGACCCAACATAATATGGAAATTACTCAACATCATTAATATCATAAAACGTTGCTTAATATTTGGGAGTGGAGTGGAGTGGAGTGGAGTGGAGTGGAGTGGAGTGGAATGGAATGGAATGGAATGGAATGGAATGGAATGGAATGGAATGGAATACCTACAGGAAACTTCCAGAAGTTCAAGCTGATGTCATGGAATGAGGGATATCATTGCTGTCATCAGATGGATCTTAACTCAAAGCAGAGAATACCAGAAACATGTTTACTTGTATTGATTAAGCAAAGGGATTTGACTACACAGATCATAAGAAATTATAGATAACACTGAAAAGAATGGGAATCTCAGAACAATTAACTGTGCTCATGTGAAACCTACACAAAAACCAAGAAACTGTTGTCTGAGCAGAACAAGTAAATACTACATGCTCTAAAGTCAGGAAAGGTCTGCATCAGGGTTGTATCTTTTCTCCTTACGTATTATATGCAGAACAAGTAATTCGCTAGACTTTATGATGATGAATGTGGCATCAGGATAGGAGGAAGATTCATCAATCAACTGAGTTATGCATATGGCAAAACCTTGCTTGCAAAAAGTGAAGACGTGAACTCAATGACACATAGTAACAACAACTATGGGTATTGATTGTGTACTCAAGTGAAATGAAATGAAATAATCAGCAACTTCAATATTTTCTATATTTATAATAATGTTGCCTATCGTTCTTAAGAGTTTTCAGAGGCCTGTTTGTTATTTAAGAAGTGGATGGTCTATTAGGCTTCTTAGTCTGTCTTCATCTAAGGTGGAATCTGAGTCAAAGGACAAGGATGAAAGAATAATTGGAGCGTTCGAGCTGTGGTATTGGAGAATAATACTAAATATCTCATCGACTTCTAAGAGAACAAACAAATATATCTTGTAGAGGATGCAGCCAGAGTTCTCTTTGGAAGTAAAGATGAAAAGGTACAACTCACTTACTTTGGGCAGGTTTGTAGGAGGGGCTATTCCTTGGAAGTGGACATGATGCTTGGACAGGCAGAAGGTCAGAGAAGGAGATGAAGACTTTTGACTAGGTAGAATGACACAGCAACTGCCATCATGAACTCTAATACAAGTCAAGAAGTATGAGGATGGCATAGGATAGGACAAGGTTTGGATCTGTTATTCATGGAATCCCTGTTGACTGTACTCAACTAGATGGCACCTAACAATGTTAGTACAGTTATGAAGATTTTAATTTTCTTGATGTTCAAGTGCGATCATCAATGAGTGCTGTAGTCTTTCATCTTCTTCAGCAAGTATTTCCAGTCTTCGTTGTGTACAAGCTAGTTTGTTTCATCTTCATAACATAAGCTGTTGATGAGCTTTCTTATAATCCTGATACAAATTCTCTTTCATATAGTCAACCTGTGTTCATCAACAACTTGTGTTATGCAGTTGACACAACCTTGCTGAAACTGAGGAGGACCTGAATCATTTGCTGCAGAAGATCAAGGACTATCACCTTCAATAAGAATTTAAGGTCAATATCAAGAAATAAAGATCCTCACCACTAGGCCAATTGGCAGCATCATGATAGATGGAGAAGAGATTGAAATTGTCAACAGCTTCAGTTTGCTTGGCTCTATAATCATTCTTGGTACCAGCAGCCAGGAAATAAAAAGATGAATTGCATTGAAAGAATCTGCCATCAGCGATCTTTCTAGAGTATTGAAGAGAAATTATGTCAATTTGGAGACTAAAGTGTGCCTGATCCAGGCTGTGGTCTTCACAATTACTTACTATGCATCAGAAAGCTGGGCAGTGACTAAAGATGACAGAAGAAGAATTAATGCCTTTGAGTTGTGGTGCTGAAGAAGTGTATTGCATATATACCAGGGACTGCTAGAAGAACAAACAGGTTCATCCTAGATAGACTGAACCCAGGCTGCTTCTTGTAGGCAAGAATTCTGAAGCTCCATCTGTCATACTTTGAACATGTTGTAAGGAGAGACCTGTCCCTGGAGACAGACATCGTGCTTGAAGAGATGGAGGGTCAGTGCAAGAAAGCAGGACCCTGGATGAGATGGATTGATTCAGTCACTGGGTCAATGGCAGCAGGTGTGTCAGAGACAGTGAGATTATCTCAAGTAAAAGCAGAGTTCAGAGCTGTTATACATAGGGTCGCTATAAATCACAAATAACTCGATTACACATAGCAACACTGTGCTGGACTGACACAGTAACTGGGGTAAGGGGTAACTGTATCAGAGACAATGAGACCGTCTCCTGATAGAGCAGATTTAAAAGCTATTGTACATAGGGTCGCTATGAGTCACAAGTGACATGAAGGCACTTAACAGCAATGATAGATAGATAGATAGACAGACAGACAGACAGACAGACAGACATATATGACATAGATAAATAGAGAGACAGGCAAATAGATACGTGTGTGTGTGTGTGTGTGTCTGTGTGTTTATTGAGAGAGGGAGAGGGAGAGGGAGAGGGAGAGGGAGAGGTTTATCTCAAGGATACAGAATGACTTGTCATGCACTTCACCTGCTGTTTTTATTAAGTACTGTCAAGTTGTGTATGACTTAAAGTGACCCCTATGAACAACAGGTCTACACCCTGTCCTGTCCTGCGCCATCCTGATCATCTCTGATTTACTTGAACCCATTGCTGCAGTCGCTGTGTCAATGTATCTGGTTGAGGGTCTTCCTTTCTTTGAATGATTCTGTCTTTCCAGGCACAATGTCCCCTTTCAAGGAGTCACCTTTCCTAGCAGCATGTCCAAATGGTGTAAGATGGGCCTTCGTCATCTTTACCACCAAAGAGTGCACTTAGTGTACTGTCTCCAAGACATATCTATTTGTTCTTTTGGCATTCTATAAGATATGCATTCCCTTTAAGAACAGGAACTAGGCAAGGATGCCCATTGCATTATGATTATCATAAGAGTC